TCAAGGGAATCATGCTGAGTGAAAGAAGCCAGTCTCAGAAATGTTCTTTGAGAACGTGTGATTCCATCTAAATAACATGCTTGAAATATCAACATCAGAGACGGAGAACATGAGTGGCTATTCAGGGTTAGGAATGGGGATGGAGCCTGAGGGGTAACTTGAGGGATGTCATTGCCCTGTGGTCATGAAGCAGTTCTGGCTGTTGTCACTTGTGATGGTCACACGAATCTGCACACATGAGGAATTGCACAGAACTACACACCCACATGCATGTAAACCAGTGACATCTGAAGAAGTTAGGCCGGGTGTGATGGTGCATGCCTGTAGTCCCAGCTACTTGGGGACTGAGACAGGAGGATCTCTTGAGCCCGTGAGGTCGAAGCTGCAGTGAGCCGTGTTCCCATCACTACACTCCAGCCTGGGTGGCAAAGTGAGACCCTGTCTCAAAAAGAAAAAATAGAAAATGAAATACGAAAAAGTTCTGTGGATGGTACCAAAGTCGTCCTCATGGCGCCATCCCGGAGTTCTGTACAGCGTTACCATTGGAGTTGAGGAAAGGACATACAAGCCTGCTGTTTGTTGTTTTGCAAATTTCTGTGAACTCATAATTGCTTCCAAATAAAAAGTAAAAACCAAAACCTAAAATGAAGCATTCCAGCCTTCATCCCTACCTGCTGTTGAGTCAGATTCTTGTCAAGTACACCCATGGAACAAGGACAGGGCCTCACACATGAGCCACTGTTAGAGCCTTTTATTATGCACAGAGATGGAGAAAAGAGTTAGGCCAAAGGTACCATCTCCCCCTGAGCCTCATCCCACACACTGGAAACCCTGACTAGGACACCACAAGACAAGGGGCCGGATGGCTGGGATAGGAGCTGCGGGACACCCTGTTGCTAGGGAGCTGGTTCTAGACTGCAGCGGAGTGGTGTTGTACCCTGCACCTGCACTCTAAACACTTAGAGTGTGGGAGAAGACCTTTACTTCACTAGCCCTGAGGAGAAGGAGGGGAGGGGGAGGCAGCTCCAGAGCAGCTCCTCTTTGGCTCCCATCCTCTTGCTTTCTGGGGGATCACAAACTGTTCTGTCAAGACCTGGATAGGCAGTGCTTTGATGGAGCCTGTGTGGATCCACACAAGGTTGTCCGGGCACCATGGCATAGCAGTTTCCGTAGAACTCTGTTGGAGTGGGCCCAGGCATCAGTATTTGTAAAAGCCTCCTGCTAATTCTGCTGGGAAGCTGAGCTTGAGACGTCCTGTCTAGCTGGCAGTAGGAGGAGCCAGAAGCGTGCATTTGGTTTCTGCCTGCAGCGTGGCCCCGGGCAAGTCAGCATCCTGCCCCATTTTGGTTCCTCACCTGCAAAAATGCAGGTCTGGCCAGCCTGAATGGGAAAGCCACTGGGTGTAGGATTTGGAACTTGCTCCCTAGCCACTCTGGCACCTGCTGCCATGAGCTGCAGCACAACCTCCCTGTTGGTAGAGAAATGGTCAGGACGTGCAAAAACCACACTGATCAACCATAAGACCCAATGAGGCTTTTTCCTGGCCATAAGCAGGACAGTGAGAAAGGCTGGAGAAAGAGTGCACCTGCTACCATATGCCACCACTGCATGCTCTGTCTAGAGCTTTCTAGAGCAACTTCTCCCTCACAGCGGGAGAGTCTTTTGCACATTCATATACACACGTCTAAGAGGGGGAATATGATGGTTTTCACCTACACATAAAAATACGTTAGAACAATGTCCTAGATCCTAGCTTATTAGCTTTCTCATTCATTCAGCTAATCCCCATGTCCATTCAATCCCTCATTCATTCAGTCCACAAACACTAAAATGTGACTCATCATCACCAAGCTTTGCTTACATCAGGTTTCAACTTCTCACTTGGGATTGCATGTTCAGGTTGAAACTCTGGGGCCTCTAGAAAAGCCCCAGCTCCTTGAGTGACAGAAGCAAATTTTTTAAAAAAGAAAGAAAAAAAAAAAGAAAAGAAAAAAGAGAAAGAAAGCCCCAGCTCCTTGCTATTAGATCAGGGCTTGAAATATAATGAAGTATCAGGGTAAAGACAAGACTAGGGGCTTGGTGAAGAAGAAGGGAGCTGGACTTGGAATACCTAGGAAGAAAAGGGCTGGTGCATGTGCTGGTAGCCAAATTATCAGTGCTTGGCTGGAGCAATCACACCAGAACGCCTTTGTCAAATGTCCGTGTCTGTCTGCATCATTCGTGGCATGTTCGCAAATGTTATGTGGACATGGAAGTCCAGGGTCATGAAGGTTTAGGGAAGGCCAGGTTCACCAGATGGAACAGTAGCTTATACTGCAGAACCTTCCAGAAACTTTACGGTGCTAACACAGTGAATCTCCAATATGAAGATGGAGACTTTCAAGATGGAGATGCAACCAGGAGAGTTTCCCAAACATGCATTGACAGGGTTTGGATCTGCGTCGCTGCCCAAATCCCATGTCAAATTGTAATCTCCAGTGTTGAAGGTGGGGTCTGATGGGAGGTGATTGGATTGTAGGGGTGGAACCTTCATGAATGGTTTAGCAGCATCACCTTGGTGCTGTCTTGTGATAGAGTTCTCATGAGATCTCATTGTTTAAAAGTATGTGGCACCTCCCCCATCCTGCTCTTTCTTGCTCCTGCTCCAGGCATGTGAGATGTGCCTGCTTCCCCTTTGCCTTCCGCCATGATTCTAAGTTTCCTAAGGCCTCCCCAGAAGCAGAAGCCACTATGCTTCCTGTACAACCTGCAGAGCCATGGGCCAATGAAAACTCTTTTCTTTATAAATTACTCAGTCTCAGGTGTTTCTTTATAGCAGTGAGAGAATGGCCATGAGCATGGAACATCTCATGGGACCCTTGGAAGTGTTACCTGAGGGTAGTAACACGATCTGTTGGAAGGGACAGCTGACTCTGGGTCCTTGGAGAGGCCAGGCTCATGCCAAGGGCCAAGCAGCCAGGTCAAGGGTGGGGACAGGAGGAAAAGGAGTCAGTTGGGATGGCAAGGGTGTGAGTTGGGAGGTTTTTTAGGATTTGGGACCAGGAGTGACCTGAAAGTAACAGGAACACATTCTGTCGACTCTAAAGGAAGAGGCAGCTGCTTCTCCCTGGGTTCTGAAGGACTTGGGGCAACCCAGTTTAGAGTGAAGGCCGACTCTAGAGAGCAGGAAGAAGATGGCAGATATCTCATCTGCAGGGGACAAAGATCCTGGCGAGAGAAGGAGCAAGCCTGGGGAGTAGCAGAGGCTTCCCTAACAGGGGCTTCTTACAGACTCACAGCCCAGGCAGGATGGGGCCTGATCTTCTAGTCTGAACCAGAACCTTCCCTCCCATGATTAATCCATCAACTTAGCAGTCATAAGAAACCACAGCTGGGGGAGCTGTTGGTAGGAGTCTCAGAATCCAAAGGCCCAAGAACCAGGAGCCCTAATGTTCAAGGGCAAGAGAAGATGGATGTCCCAGCTTGAGAAGAGAGAGAATGAATGTACCCTTCCTCTGCCTTTTTGTTCTATCTGGGTCCTCAGTGGATTTGGTGATGCCCACCCACATGGGAGAAGGAGGATCTTTCTTACTCATTCTTCATTTTCAAATACTCATCTCTTCTGGAAACAGCCTTGCAGAGATACCCACAAATAATGTGTTCCCAGCTATCTAGGCATCACTTAGCCCAGTCAAGTTGATACATGAAATTAACCATCATGCCCTCTTTCAGCCTCTGAGATCCAGCATGTCCCCTCTTGCTACAAGGGTGTTGAGCACATTGTGCCCTTTGTCTGGAATGCTCTTTCCTTCATTGTTCTCCTACTTGTCACTTCCTATTTTGGTTTTAAAATTGAGTACTTCCATCTTTCTAAGAACAAGAGAATGAGTTTATTATTTTTTTTTCTTCTTTTCTCCTTCCTGCTTTCCTCTGCTTCCCACTTCCTACTTAGCTCTTTAGAAGGGCAATTATAGCCTTTTACCTCCCCTTCACCAGGTACTGTCCACAGGGCAAGTTCAGCTAACTAGGTGCTTAGTAGCTCCAGTGTGGGACTCTCTCTCAGCTTGAGAGAGAGCAATCCATCTACAACTCAAAGTATCCCCAACACGAAACTCTCTCCCACCTGAAGATTGCCTCAAGAGACAGCAGTCTATCCACAACTCAAAGTATGGTCAATGTGAAACTCTCCCACCTAGAGATATTCAATAACTTTTACAACTTAGTTCTGCCCGTGAAGGTGCCAACTCGACCACCTAGTAGATACAGCACCAAAGTGAGTTATACAGACCTCTACCTGCCTGCTTCCTCCACTGCATGCCATTTATGTCAATTTTCCTTTCCTTTTCTTTTTTTTTTTTTTGAGACAGAGTTTTGCTTTTGTTGCCCAGGCTGGAGTGCAATGGCATGATCTCATCTCACTGCAACCTCCACTTCCCAGGTTCAAGCGATGCTCCTGCCTCAGCCCCCCAAGTAGCTGGGATTACGGGCAAGCACCATCACACCAGGCTAATTTTCTTGTGTTTTCAGTAGAGACGGGGTTTTGCCATGCTGGCCAGACTGGCTCGAACTCCTAACCTCAGGTGATCCACCTGCCTCGACCTCCCAAAGTGCTGGGATTACAGGCATGAGCCACTGTGCCTGACCTGTCAATTTTCCTTTTAAAAGCACCCGCTTTCTGTTCCAAAAGGGAAGCAGAACGCTTAAGGCAGAAAGCCTGTACTTCTTCCCCTAAGCTAGCTCTGTAATAAAAAGTCACTTTCTTTATACCAGACCTCACTCTTATTAATTATACTCTGCCAGCAAAGAACAACTGAGTCTGTGTTTTGGTTACAGCTTCAATGCCGTGTTCACAGGAAGACTTCTAGGAGACTGTCCAGAAACCAACTCCTCCTCTCATCTCCACTTTCTCTCTACAAAGTCATGTTGACAAAAGGAGAAAAAATAAAATATTTGAAGAGATTTATTCTGAGCCAAATATGGGTGACCATGGCAGATCCTGAGAACATGTGGCCTAGGAGATCCTGAGAACATGTGCCCAAGGTGGTCAGGCTACAGCTTGGTTTTATACATTTTAGGGAGACAGAAGACATCAATCAATACATATAATATGTAAATTGGTTGGTCATGGGGCTTCCAAGTCATAGGTATATATTCAAAGATTTTCTAATTGGCAATTGGTTGAAAGAATTAAATTGTTATCTAAAGACCTGGAATCAATAGAATGGAGTATCTGGATTATGATGAGGGATTGTGGAGACCAAGGTTTTTATTATGTAGATGAAGTCTCCAGGCAGCAGGTTTCAGAGAGAATAGATTGTAAATGTTTCTTAACAGACTTAGAAAGAGGCCAGACTCTCAGTTAATTCTCTCCTGGATCAGAGAAAGATCTGGAAAGGAAAGAAAATTACAGAATGTAGATTTGCCTCACGAGAGACAGCTTTGTGAGACCATTTCAAAATCTATCAAAGAAATAGATTTTAGGGCAAAAAGCTTCAATTTCTTTCAGGGCCTGCTATCTGTCATGTTGGTATCTTATTACTACAAAGAGTCAGTTTTGTCAGTCCTAATGCATCTGTTTTAATGTTAATGCTGGCCAGCTGTGCCTGAATTCCAAAGGGAGGAGGGCATAATGAGGCATGCCTGATCCCCACTTCCCATCATGCCCTGAACTAGTGTTTCAGGTTAACTTTGGAATGCCCTTGGCTAAAAGGAGGGGGTCCATTCAGTTGGTTGTGGGGCTTAGAATTTTTTATTTGCATTCATGTTTATTGCAGTTGCAACTTATATATATTTGTGTAGTGATTTCATAGATGCCAGCCTTCCCCATACTGTATATGCTCCACAGAGCAATGCCTGTTCCTTTTTGTTCACTGCTCCATTCCCAGCCCCAAGCCCATGGATGGCTTTTCATGAGGCATCTGTTAATGGCTGTGAGACAAATGAAGGACATCAGGACAAACAATAGGGGCAGGTTGGTGGGGCTGAGTATTCAGAGTGAAAGGGATTATAATTAAAACTTGTCTCACCCTTGGATCCTTTACAAAATAATTGTTGGGTTATTTTCTTGGTGAAGCAGTGATCCATATTGATTTTAGAAAATGCATGCATCTCAGCTGGGGGATCTGGAAGTCTAGAGGGTGGCTACAGGAGCAAAGACCATGCAGTGCAGGCAGAAGAAGTCCTTGGAGCCCTGTTCCCTAGCTTAGGAGACCACGTGCCCCAAACCTGGCTGGCCACCAGGGCTTGCTCTTTCCTGGGTGGTTCTCAGCAATTTCATGGAGGATGACCCAGAAGGCAGAAAGTCTACTGCCAGTTCCTGTGCGCCCTTGGGCAAGCTATCTAAACCTTTTATGTCTCATTTTCTTAATCAGTCAATAGGTATAAATAGTCTGGCCTACTTCATTTGGCCACATTGAGGATTAAGTGAGATTTTACATACAGTGCCTAATAGTATACATAAAAAGTGTTAAATAAATATCATTATTAAATCAGTCGTCATTCAAAGGTACACCAAAGCAGACTCCTGGGCCCCTCTCTCGCCATGAAATGAAACCAGTAGTCATAATCATGATGAGGCCTAATTCTCCTCCCAAGGCAACTTGTTCTCTTTGCTAGTAATTGCCTGGATTTTCATTATTAGACAAGAAAAGAGAACCCTTTAGCAATAATTTGAGGCTACTCCTATCACAAAGCATGAGCATCATCAAAACGAAGAGTTTTTGGTCGATTTTTTCAGTCATTTGGACAGAAAATGCCCTCAAAGATTTTCAACTCAAGGCTATGACCAAGGGTATGTTTTCTGCCTCAAAAATGACTCCATGTAGAAGAAAGAGCAAAGCACCAATTTTGCAGATGAAAGGTGTGAGACCCAGGTGGCTTTGTTTGAGAGCTTCCAGTGTTCATTCTTTGTAAAGTGGGAAAATAGCTTTGCTTTTTAAAAAATTTTAAGTATAATTGACAAATTCAAAAAATTGTACGTATTTATGACGTACAATGTGATGCTTTGATTTATGTATACATTGTGAAATGGTTACTCCAATTAAACTAATTAACATATCCATCACCTTACATATTGCTTTTTTGTGATGAGAACATTCAAGATCTCTTCTCTTAGCAATTTTCAAGTCTGTAATACATTATTACTGTATTAACAATAGTAACCATGCTGTACAATAGATCTTCAAAATTTAATTCTCCTGTCTAACTGAAATTTTGTGCCCTTTGACCTCAGGTCTCATAACCACCATTCTACTCTGTGATTCCATGAGTTCAAGTTTTTTATATTCCATATGTATGTGAGATAATGCAGTATTTGTCTTTCTGGGCCTGGTTTAATTCACTTAGTCTAACGTCCTCTAGGTTCATCTGTGTCATTGTCAATGACAGAACTTCCTTCTTGTTTAAGGATGAATAGCATTTTATTGTGTATATTATATATATATCCATCTTATATATATGTCCATCAACGAATGATAAAGAGAATGTGAGAGAGAGATATATATATATTTTTATCATTCATTTGTTGATGCACACATAGGTTGTTCCAGGTTGTATTAGTCTATTCTCACACTGCTATAAAGACATACCCAAGACTGGGTAATTTATTTAGAAAAGAGGTTTAATTAACTCCTAGTTCCACATGGCTGGAGAGGCCTCAGGAAATTTACGATCGTGGCAGAAGATGAGAGAGAAGCAAAGGCATGTCTTACATGGCAGCAGGTGAGAGAGAGAGCAAACGAAGGGGGACGAGCCCCTTATGAAACCATCAGATCTTGTGAGCACTCACTCACTATCACGAGAATAGCAAAGGGAAAACTGCCCCCACAATCCAATCACTTCCCACCAGGTCGCACCCTCTGCACCTGGGAATTATGCTTCAAACTGAGATTTGGGTGGGGACACAGAACTAAACCACAACACATGTCTTGGCTATTATGAATAATACAAGCATGAGAGTGCAAATATCTTTTCAACATACTGATTTCATTTCCTTTGAAAAGATACCCTGAAGTGGGATTGCTGGATTATATGGTAGTTTTTGAGAAGCCTCCATACTGTTCCCCATTTTGGTTGTATTAATTTACATTCCCACCAACGGAATACAAACATTCCCCTTTCTCCACATCCTCACCAACACTCACTATCTTTTGTCTTTTTGATAACAGCCATTCTAACAGGTGTGAAGTCATATGTCTTTGTGATATTAATTTGCATTTCCTTGATGATTAGTGATGTTGAGAAGTGTTTCATTCGGCCACTTATGTGTCTTCTTTTGAGAAATGTCTATTCAGGTCCTTTGCCCATTTTTAAATTGGGTTATTTGTTTTCTTACTGTTGAGTTGTTTGGATTTTTTGTATATTTTAGGGATTAACCCCTTAAAAGATACATGGTTTGCAAATGTTTTCTCCCATTCCATAGGTTGTCTCTTTACTCTGTTAATTATTTCCTTGGCTGTGTAGAAGCTTCTTAGTTTAGTGCAACCCCATTTGTCTATTTTTTTGCTTTTGCTGTCTGTGCTTTTGGGGTCACATCTAAGCTTTGCTTTTTCAACCCAGTGCTCAGTAGATTAAAGTAGGAAGATGTTTCCTGGAGGCCTCCAGCCATCCTTAGCTTTGCCATGATTAACACTCCCATGATTTCACTCTCTCAAAGAATGGGATTCTTTAAAAGTTCCAATCTTGAGAGCATCAGCAAGTTAGAAATGGGCTTTCTGCTTTCAATCAAATAGACCCCAGCCTTTGTTCTAAGAGAAAGATGAGGAGCTTCCTCATAACCAGTAGCTTCCAATACTCTTTATTCTAAGCATGAAGACATTTCCCTTTGCACAGTGTACATTAAGGCTTACTGAGGCAAGGCAGGAAATGGTGCCCTTTCCCCCAGCAACTTCCAGCATGTTCTGTGGTGCATCTCAATATCCGGCTGCTCTGTATTGCTATTATCCAAATGGGCAATGTTTCTGTCATTTAACTGCGTCTTTGGGCAGGAACAGTTGAAAGCAGGGATTTTGCAAAGGTTCTACTTTGGGAAGAATTTGTTGGTTCCTATTAAATGGGCAGATGGAAAGCACAGGGAATCTGGAGATGCTTTACAGTGAGGACAGCGTGGGGCTTGACAAAAGAGAGAGAGGAGTGCGAATTTTTCGTGCCCCCCTAAAAGGATGGGGTGAGAACTTTTCCCCATCACCAAGTGCTCTTAGAGCCTGTGCAGATGGAGAGACATGGTTCCATTGTTCTCAGCCGTTCCCTTCAGCCCCTCTCATTGGCATGTTGGTCAGCATTGCCAGAGTTAGGAGGTGAAACCCCCCTGCAGAGTGCCCCTACCTTGCACAAGATGACCTTGCAGGACATGCAGTCACAGGGAAGCTGGTCCTCGATCTGCTGGGATTCGTGGCCTCAGTTCACGCCTCCACCTGTGCTGCGTCTCACACCTGCAATGCTGCCAGTTACCCTGCCTTCCCCACCAGAGGTCGAGTTCCCTAAGACAGCAACAGGGCACTGCCTGTCTTTGTGTTTCCCAGCACAAAGAGAAGAACTGAACACTTATTCTGATTCAATAACAGGAAGAATAAATGAATGAATGAATGAGTGAGTGCATTTTAAAGCCAAGGGAGTTTCTGCCTCATAAGCTCATTGTCTTAGAAGAAAAGAAGGCAAATAAGGAGATCAGTAAGAAGTCCTGTGCGCCCGATTGCTTCCTGTGCCTTTCGACCTTCAGCCATGAAGCACGACCTTTATTGCTTGTTGAGCACAGACAGCTTTTAAAGGATATCCTTCCACTGCCCTCTCAGAAGGAAAGGGTCTTGGAAAGTGCTCAAAGCCCATCACTTGCAGGACCTTCTGAGTACGCTATGAACAAGAAGATAGTAAGAGAAGGTGGCGGCAACAGGGGATTTCAAAGTGTCCTGGAAGGCTGGGTCCATGTCACTCTTGGGGCAGTAAAATGTTTTAGTGGGAGTAATTGATTTATTCAGTGTCATCTGAAAGTGAAAGAAGACAGGATAGCTGAGCAAGCAATCCTCCCTCCAGCTTTCCATCCACCCCTGCAGATGTGTTTGTGCTCACGCACACACACGTGCACACACATGCTCACATGCTCACACACACATGCCCCCACATACATCAGGTGATTAACACAGGTATTGAATGGAAAGCTACATCTTCAGGAGAAGCTGATACAGTAAAAACCCAGGTAACCTATCCCAGGGTAACACTGTTGTCATCAAGCATTCTCTAGGGGCAGGCAGGGAGGAGAGGGGCAGGCTGGTTGGGAAACTGCAGGCAATCAGTCTCAGAAGTGGGGAGGCAGAGACTGGGTCCCTGTGCCCCAATTTTCTCCAGTCAAGTCAACAAAATGGCATCAGTGGGGAGTGTTCTGGAGTTTGCGTCTGTCTTGGATGCAAACTCTTGGAAGGCCCATCAAGAGTCCTAGAAATTCTTGATGTTTAAGGCACAGCAGCCAACTGCCACCAGCTGATGCCACACCACAGCCAGGACTAGGACAGATTTATGGGGCCAGAAACGTGAGGCCAGGCTGCCGGCTCCCCAGGCTCGGCCCCTTCCTTCATTGACTTGGCCATAACCAGCCTTGTACTCCAGGAGCTGGGAGTTCTGGACCCCTACTTATGTGTTATGGGGCTCACTAGGTAATTCTCTGTGGATAACGATGACTTGGATAGCTAAAATGCCTTGCGGGCCGGGCACGGTGGCTCACACCTATAATCCCAGCAGTTTGGGAAGCCAAAGTGGACAGATCACCTGAAATCAGGAGTTGGAGACCAGCCTGACCAACACGGAGAAACCTGTTCTACTAAAAATACAAAAATTAGCAGCGCATGATGGCGGGCACCTGTAATTCCAGCTACTCGGGAGGCTGAGGCAGGAGAATCTCTGGAACCTGGGAGGCAGAGGCTGCAGTGAGCTGAGATCGCGGCACTGCACTCCAGCCTGAGCGACAGAGTGAGACTCTGTCTCAAAAATAAAAAAAATAAAAGATAAAAATGCTTTATGGATTATCAGTGCTTCTCTTTTTTTTTTTTTTTTTTTGAGACGGAGTCTCGCTCTGTAGCCCAGGCTGGAGTGCAGTGGCCGGATCTCAGCTCACTGCAAGCTCCGCCTCCCGGGTTTACTCCATTCTCCTGCCTCAGCCTCCCAAGTAGCTGGGACTACAGGCGCCCGCCACCTCGCCCGGCTAGTTTTTCTCTATGCATCATCTCGCTGTAACAAGACTGAGAGCCAGGCCGGGAACGGGACCTTACTTCCACCTTGCAGGTAAGAAAATTGCAGTTTAGAGAAATGACAGAGTGGGGAGCTGCTGGCTGTGCCTGTGCTGTTCCATGGCCCGGAGCACTCCATCTTTCTCCAACGTCAGGGGGAGAGACACAGCCCAAAAGGGGCACTGAGCGTTGGAACTGACGTCAGGAAGCCCCTGCCTGGCACCCTAACATGGCCACTGAACAGCAGGTGGGCTGAGCTCCTGGGGCCTTGTTTCACATGGTAGAACCAGCGGCTTTTCTTGCTGCTCTGCGGGGTCTCATCACTGTCGCGTTTAGCAGGGCTTCGTGAGCCTCTGTGTGACCCCCAGAGTTCTGGACACAGGCTGGACACGGGCTTAGGCCTGAACCCAACCCACATCTCAACATTCCGATGCCATCGTCAACCCTCTGAAATGCCATCAACCTCGGACCCTTTCCCATCCCCACAGGCCGCCTTCCTAGGCTCTTACAACCATCTGCCACCCGGGCGCTGGCTCTGCGGCCGTCCCCTCACCCCCACTTCCCACACCAGAGTTTCTGGGATTGGATCATGTCACTCCTGCTCAAGCCTGTTCCGTGGCTCTCTGTGACCATGGCCGCTGCAGGAACCTTTCAGAGGCCTACAGGACAGGACCCAGCTCTGTCCCTCATCGCCCTCACTTCTGTCTTAGCACGTAT